AACGCCTGCCAGTGCCAGAGTCGGCTGCACACTGGGCCAAGGGGTAACATCAGTGAACACAGGGACGGTGCCTTCATGTTGGCTGGGCCGCCAGCAACCATTGATGTCATTTGCTTGTAGAGACAAGGCTGTGCAGGGGTGGCTTCCAGGCAGAAGGAAAGTTGGGTTGGCTTTTTGTGTGTTTTTTTTTTAATTTTTTCCTGTCCCAGGCAGCAGAACGGGAGCTGGCTGCGAGCTCTCCTGGGGCGTGCGTGGTTCCTGCCAGGCTGTCCAAACCAGCCTCTCTCGAAACCAGCTCCTCTCCTCTCGAAACCAGCTCCTCTGCTGCGGCCAGGTCCGTTCAGCATGGCCAATGGCACCCAGAACCTGACCTCGTGCATCCTCTCCGAGCCCCTGCGCCAGGTTTAAAACCTCCTGCTTGGAAACAGGGCTACCTGCTGCCAGCAATGCTGGCCAACTGGCCTGCACGACAGCAAGCAGGGTGCAGGAGGAGGAGGAAGAGGCCAACTGGCCAGCACAACCGTAAGCAGCATCCTAGAGGAGGGCTTGCCAGCTCCCTCAGGCAGTGCTGTGGGCATCTTGCACCATGCCAGCCTCCAAAAGCAGCGCTTCAGGTGGGGAAGCTTCCCCCACCCAGAGGGATGGAGGACGGTCACCTTTCTGTGCGAATCCTCCATGTCCCACGCTCAGCGCACAGCCCGGTTTGGCTCAGAAAGCAGCACGGGGCCAGGCTGGCACCTCGGCAGCCCTCAGCACCCTCTTTGTCCCTCTTCCTAAGCCACTTCAGCCGAGTGACCTGGGTTTTCCCCTGGGAAAAAAACACCCCCCTGCCATGCCCACCCCCAGCCCTGCCTGCTCCCATCCCTGTGGGCGCTGCTCCACTATCCCTATTTACAAAAGCTGCATTCAGCTCCCGGCAAACCCACGCTCACTTTTTCCAAGCAAGTCTTTCTCCAGGAGCTGGATGACGACCCAGCCCTTCCCCTGCGTACGCCGGCCGGCGCCAATTGCCATGGAGAACCGCGGTGCTAACGCAGGGCAGGCAGGCAGCTCACCAAGGGAGAGCCGCTGGGTTAACACAAGTCAGCTATATTTAAAACATTTAATACAAATGTGTTTTGACAAGTCCTGTAGTTGTTTCCAGATAGAGCGCTGGAGATGCAGCATTTTTCCCCTCCCTTAAAAACAGAACGAGGCCCAGAACTCCAAAAACATCAATTTGCGACTTCTTCTCTCACTCCTTCCTGCTTATCCCCCCTCTCTCACCCTGCCCAGTCCTGCCTCCACCCCACCAAGGCCCTTAATGGAAGAAACCTCCTGCACCAAACCTTCAGGAGAAACCTCCTGCACCCAAACCTTTGGGAGAACACGGCAAAGCTAAGAAAATTAGCTCCTTTTCAACTTCTTGCATCAACACCCCATGGACACGGGGCTGCCTGTCTTCGGCTTGAGGGTTAGGGGAGCTATGGAGCTCATGGACTGGTGGAGGAATTACATTAAGGCGGTTTGTTCTATCTCGGACATCCCTGAGGACGAACGTCCCCCCACACCAGATCCCAGAGCGCCGTCGGGATTTGCTACACCTAGAGGAGATTGCACAGGGGAAGCCTCGACTCTCAGAGGGAGCTCAGAGGGCTTCTGCCTCCTTCGCCGCCTTGGTGAGCCTCTCGGTGACGAAGCCGAGGTCCTTCCCTTTGTCCAGTTTGATGTAGGTGTCCGTCCGGATGGTGTGGATCCCCACCCA